CTACTATGCCGGTCTCTTTCGACCAATTCAGCGATTTTATCGCAATTTTMGACGTTAGGCCTTCCGGAGCGTGGCGCACCTTCGACCACCTCTACACCAGAACGAAAACGTTGAAACCATCCTTGTGCGGTGGAAATGGAAACTGTATTGGGTCCATAAACTGCACAAATTTTATTSGCGGCTTGAGATGCATTTTTGCCTTTATCGTAGTAGCACTGTAAAATATGCCGTGTTTTCTCTTTATTTTGCTCCATGTTTGCGACGCTATAACTCACGAACGACGTAAAAGAAACGACAATCAATCAAACACGTGTTAGCGCGTGAAATGAGCTTTCCAAAAAGGTTTAGCATGACCCGATGTGACAAATAAAACTAGAACTACGCGCTCTCAGCGCCCACTAGCGAAAATACCGCAAGACTTTTTTGGCAACCAATATAATATTCGTAATGAGTGGTTAAGTGAGGTTAGGTTTGATCACCACGACCTGTAAAAACTCGACAACTWGGGAGTGCGGAAGTGAGGCTTGCCTTATTGTGTAGAAAGGCCTCCCTGAATCTCTTGGCATCGACAACGGGATAAAAGGATCTGGCGATAGCGCAAGATAATTAATTGGAGGTTATAAATTAAAACCCCCTTTATGAAAAATCGGTTGTAGAATAGCTTTCAGACATTTATTATTTAGATTAAATTTAATTAAATCTTGGTGGAAACGCAAAATTCTTAGAATTKTGTACACATTAAATTTGTAACGTGTTTATGATAAAAAAAAAATTGTCAAAATTCCTCTAACCCCCTAATTTGGAGAGAGAGAGAAATTGAGAAAGTCTACATATTCGCGAAAATCAACAAAACAGCAAGTAAAACGCGGTTTGTTCCCAAAAAATCCACACTACAACGTCTTAACTATCTCGTCGGCGCYTACGACGGCCGGCTCATCCTCAACCACGAACTCCTGCGGCGCTACATTATCGAAGAACTTATCGAAATCGTRCGCCTTGGAAAGCTTTGTRCGAAAACTTTTATACTCCGCACGTTCGCGTTCATCAAGCTTTATGCACCTCTTCGCCTTGAAACTGTATTCGGTATGCAGCACCGTATAGCCCTTGGCASTGACTGCCTTCAGCACAGTTTCCAATTCGCTCGGGTCGCACTTAAAGTTTACAGCGCCCGTTTCATAGTCGACCATTTCGATGCCTTGAGCTTTGCAAGCGATCGCGTCACGCATAATCGARCCCTCGAGATCGCTGAAATCCAGCGAGGTCTGCAGCGAGATGATCGCCTCGATGGTGGCGCTGCTGAAGAAGTTGTGCATGACGTGCACGAAGCTGGCATTGTAGTTCCGCATCAACGGCAACAGACGTGACTTCAGTTCGGCCGTAAGCACCGAGCRTAATGTGCARATGAGAAATATCCTACGGTTGCAGCGTATTTGCAGCAGCTGGCGGTGTAGTGTGGTGCGYGTATCGGCGTAAGTATTGATGATTTGGTACGCTTCATGCATGGCGAGACCCTGTTCGGTGACGTAGCGCACTGCTGTCTTCAAAAATCTATTTTGTCGCGGATTTGCCGAGTTGCCTTCGTAGATGGCGAGTCGCAACTTGTGTGCTAAGCGGCAATGTAGCGGTGCTAACGCCACGCCCTTCCCCATGGGTAGAAATTTCGGTTGTTTCTTAATGTTCTTGTGCACTTCAACAGGGCATTCGGGCGAAAAGCGACGACTGGTGGTTGGTTGATCTTTACGCCGATCAGCCTCTTTACTTGCCGTTCGGAAGGAACGCATTTTGAAGAAAATTTTGAGTAATACGGTTTATTCATGTAAATAAATTATGTTCAAAGCAAGAATAAACACATTTTGACAATAACAAATTTCACTTTTTTTTTGTTTGTGTATGTATTTCTTTTCCACACATTAACGGAGGAAATAATTTTCGAAATTGTTTTTGTTGAGATGTTTTTGTTTTATTTCTTTTACTAAGATATTGGCATTCTAAACAGGCGTCCAGACCTCTGCAGTGTACATTGGCAGTAGCGACCCACATCGACCTTGTTAAATTTCAATTCGATAGTTATACCTTCTCGGAACCGAAGAAGTACGTGAAATCGCGGACCTCCGTACAATTTCCCAGCCGAAGCAGCAGTTTTGGCAAATAAGCGCGATGCGTAAGGTATTACGCCAACCCAAGTTCTGTAATCCCCGCATAAGATATAACATTTTGGAGATTTCGAAAATTCGAAGAARTGCACGAGCTATTTTAGCAGACAGTTTGCACCTTTCAGCCGACAAGGACAAAATATGTGTTATACGGTGGCGCAAAAAAATAAAAGACTACGAGTCACATAAATACTTTCATCGATGAGGAATTTTAGAGTCTTTTCAGCAAGACAAAATCGCCGAAATCCATTGACCCAGATGGGATAAACATGTTGATGCTAAAACATCTTCCCGACGGGCATGCCTAACTTGGGTCCTTAACATGTAGTCGATCACTCTTCATATACGCGACGTGTGGAAAGTCAGAAGTGTGGTTCCATTATTGAAACCTGGGAAACCCGTCAACTTAGGGGACTCTTATCGTCCGATAACTCTCATTTCCCCAGTAGTGAAGACACTTGMGGCCATGTTACTGCCGACCTWCTCTCATTACCTGAGTCCAACAGACTATCAACATTGTTTTCGGAAAATACGCAACCCTACCACAGCAGTGAGCGTCATAAACGCCCACAAATGTTCATCGTCTAAAAGGAGGATCTAAGTAGCGTTGGTCTTSACAAAAACTTTTCACACAGCCAATCACACAAAGCCAAAAGAAAACGTCGACCAATGTAAGCTCCATCCAGGGCTTAGGAAGGTGGACCATTTGAGCAGTCGGCGACCATCCGTACTATTTCGAAGTCGAAATTCTAAGTTAAGGAGAATTAAACAAGGGGTTCCGTAGCATGGTGTTTACACCTTACTGTTTAACTTCTAAATTGCTAAATTCAGATAATTGTACGATTTTGACATAAGGCAATGGAATCGCTGGTGATACTCTCCGCCAATAAGTCTACAGCGACCATATTCACTAACTGGACKGAGGGGAGAGCAGACTGGATTTTAACATGGCAGTCGCTGTCGTTAAAACTTGCAGAAACCATCACTGCAGTGGAGATGCCTCCAAGGCGCACCAAGAGATATTTTCTTGATTTCGTCAATAAGTGCGTCTGGGAAGGATACTTTCCACGTGAGTGGAAAAGTGCTAGGGTTGTTCCTCTCCTTATCGGGCCATCAGTCTCCTTCCAGTACTTGGAAAAATGCTGGAAAGATCCATGGTGGGACGACTTCAGGAGCTAACGCGGGGTATGTGGTCGGATAGGCAGTATGGKTTCAGGAAAGGACGCAGTATAGAGGATGCATAGTTTTATGTTCAGAATGTCGTTAGGGAGAATGCCAACAAATATTTGTTGACTTCAAGGGGGGCGTTTGATTACCTAGGCTGGGATCGAGCGTTACTTTTTGGCGTAGTTATTTTTCGGACAGAAAGACCTCTCTTGTTGGCATGAATGGGAATTGGAGTTGTTCGTGGCTGCCCGCAGGACTCCATCAGTGGTCCATATAACATATTTGGAAGCTTATGATGGAAACTCTGCTTGGGCAGCTCGGGCCACTCTCTTAAAGTTGTGGGTATGCGGACGCCCATCTTCTTATGGTCGAATATCGCACGCGATCTGAGCTAGAGCGGGAGGGAGGGCATCTATTAGATATTGTGAATGCTTGGGGTGTAGGTAGGGGATTTGACACATCGAGGTCAGCATCTTGACGAATGTTAAGGAGCGATTGCAGGCAATCRTAGGCAAAATACGACGCATTTTGAGGAGTGATTGTTTGTGACCTGTGACACATATGGAGCCGCTGTGTGGTGGGAAGTAGCAACGACTGTCTCGGGGTCCCAAAAACCTGTCGGTTTGCCTTATGTCGCACTCTCAACGGATGCTATGCAGGTTTTGTTAAGTGCACTCCTTCTTAACCTGATAAACCGCGAGCTGTTGCATTAAGAAAGGGCTTGAGTGTGTCATTGCTAGGGAGTTACTGGATTTCCGACCATGATGTGGAGAGGGAGGGATATCTAGGGAGCAAGAGGCTTCTAGATGATAGGGTAAGGTGTAGGTGGCAAGAACGTTGAGACAATAAATAATCCTAACGGCCGAGTGTCCTACGAGTACATTCGAGGTGTTGGGTTCGTTGAGGATAACCCAGACTTCAGACTCTGTCTGAGTCTGAGTTTTTTGCTCACGAGGCATGGGTCTGTGAATGCATTTTTGCATCAGTATCAGCTATCTGATAGATCGAGATGTTTTTGTGAGGCGGGGGTAGAGGATGGGGTGCATTTATTAGCAGAATGTCCGATGTACTCGGACATTAGGGATCTGGGTGGTATGGGGATTAGCTGAACTGATGGACGATTAGATGTTAGTGATGTGATCTCCACTAGTCGGAATACCGAACAGTGGGTTAGCTGGGAATTAGGGTTARATTTTGTATGAGGTGTCCAACCTCTGGCACCAGTTCAGAGCCGTATGGAAGCTCAACCGGTAGTAGCTTAGGCTACGGGGTCTGACCGGAGACTTAATTCTGGTACCACGGGAAGCAGGAGGCCTTGGAGTTTACTCCAACCTGCTAATGCCTACTGGCCCCTGGGGGGGTTGTGGTTAAAACCCAAATGCGGGAAGAACTGACTTTATCTGTTGAATGTGCAGTTGCATTGTACCTGGATGCCGGACCCAAAGCACGGMAGAGGTTTTAGAGGGGTTTTAAAGGGGCAGAGGTTGAAAACAGAGACTTTTAATTTTAAGGTTTGAACGAATATTGCTTATTTAAGCTGATAGCTATGTCTCAAAACACAAGGACGTAAGAAATCAAACGAAAAAGAATTAACGCAAAACCGTTTCTATCAATAAGTGATTTACTAAGTCCACAAAACCAAAACAATATATAATAAATAATAAAAAAAACAGCACTCACCGTATCCGCTGCCGTTAAATTAATACCCAAACCGCCAGCGCGTGTGGATAGTAGAAAAACAAAAATATCTTCTCTCGTCTGGAAATCGGCCACCATGTCACGACGCGCCGAAATCTTACTCGAACCATCCAGGCGCATGTAGCGGTGTTTGCGATGCCACATGTACTCCTAAAAGAACATAAAATCATTTGAATGACTCAASCCTTAGCGGTAATTTTGGCACTACGCACCTCCAACAAATCAATCATTTTCGTCATTTGTGAGTAGATAAGCACACGGTGACCCTGCGCTTTGAGGCGCGTCARCAAGCTATCCAGCACCGCCAGTTTGCCGGCATCGGACACGAGCGTTTGCTTATCCGGCACAACAATCGACGACCAGCCATAGCGCGGGCGACACAGCTCCAGCGCAGTGTTTACCAACTGCAAACCTACGGCGTTCTCACACTGTAGGTGGCGTATTTGAGCCCAAGCAGCGTCGCGGCTCTCACAACTGTAARCAATTTTATAAGAGGATTATTACTTTAGTACACTAAACATATCAAGATATTTACTATAAGTTTCGCTTGACGGCCTGTACGCGCTGACTGAGTCCGTAGAGAAARCGCGGCATTTCGAGCGCCTCGCACTGGTATACGGTGGGTGTGCGTGGCACGTGCGGAAATTCGGGCAGCAACTTRGCGTTGCCACTGACATCATCTTTATGCTTCGATGTGGACTTATGTGACTTGGCTGGCGTGCTGCTGCCGTCTACCCTGCTCTCCAAATCATATTCCGTTTTTATGTCCARATCTTCATTGAAACGCATGTGCKSCATTTTTTGCGTCGGATCACCAATGCGTTTGCTGCGTATAACACGGTGTTCGATCGTTTCCTGTATATTCACCGTTTTGTAACCCCCGAAGGCATAAATGGTGCTCTCACGGCTCGTCTGTTGGTTTTTCAAGTTRTGTTACCGTTTCAGTGACTGTTCAAATCTGGATTTTTATGTACTCACCACACCAGTGAAGAGGAAATTRCGCAAAACACTTTGTTGCAACATAAAACTAGGCTGCAGCGATTGCTCCARCGTCGGTTCCAAGAGCTGAAAGCGCGTGGACTTATGATGTGGCCACCATTGACGGCGGTAGGCGAGCAAAGCATATTGCAGCAATCGGCGGCGATAGTGAAGTATGCTGAAATGTGGCGAATAAACAAAATTGTGGTGTATTAACAAAAGTATGGTGAATTAATAAAGGTATGGTGAATTCATAAAATTATGGTGAATTAATAAAGGTATGGTTAATTCATAATGGTGAATTAATAAAGGTATGGTGAATTCATAAAATTATGGTGCATTAATAAAAGGTGTGTTGAATTACCAAAATTATGGTGAATTAATAAAAGGTGTGGTAAATTCACAAAAGTATGGTGAATTAATAATATTGGAGTGAATTAATAACAGTTATTCAAAAACAGCGCACTTACCAGGTAATCAGTCCGTTGATGGTAACATCCTCCAAATCACGCGGCGAGAGATCGCACAAACGCGCGAAACTGAAACAGCAACTGTCGCTGGCATTCAAGTCCACATAGCGCGCATAGTGCTCACTGGTCTTTTTGGTACCACCGGAATGCGGTTCACTGAAGAGCGTTCTATGCATATAAGCCGCCTTGAAGATGGAGTAACTGGCGCGCAAGAAAAAAAAGATAGTTAAAAGAAGGTGCTTAGAAAATAAGTTAGATGGATACCTATTGAACAGCAAATGCCGCTTGCTGGGTAARGCGCGTTGCAGCAAGCATTCGGAGTAGACCAAACGCGGCAGCACATACTCCTCACAGCGCATGGCAAACGGACTTTTCGCGTCGCGTCGCTCGAAGAGCTCGGGATGGTTGCATACCTTACGGAACTGCATGACCAAGTTCATGAGATTTGATGTGAAATTCTTATCGAAATGATGACCATCACCGGCGCTACCCGCGCCACCTCCAGTGAAATGCAACAAATCCTCGATGCGTATTTTCTTCTTTAACGCCATGTARAGCAGTTTCTGKCGTATGGTCAGCGGGCAGTAGACCATAATCTCAATCTTATCGGAGAGCTCATTCTCCACATCCTTTTTGATGCGTCGCAACATGAATGGTTTGAGTATCATATGCAGACGTGATATTTGCTTCTCATCGATGCCCGTCTTATTCTCCGCATGCGACTCAATATCCTTCGAGAACCATTCGTTGAACTCATCGTGCGAGTCGAAGAGTGTGGGCATAATGAAATGCAAGAGCGCCCACAGCTCAGCCATGCTGTTTTGTATGGGCGTACCGCTGAGCAGCAGCCGATTGCGGCAATTGAAGCCGAGCAACAGCTTCCAGCGCATCGAGGAGGCGCTCTTTATGGCCTGTGCCTCGTCCAACACCATGTATTGCCACTTAATTCGATTGAAGTATTTGTAGTCGGATACGATCAGTTGATACGATGTGATGACCACATGAAAGCTGGCGTCACGCGTGTGCAGATCCTTTTGCTCCCAAAATTGACGCAGAATTTTGCGCTCATTCGGCGAACCCCAATAGGGCACGACATTGAAGTCCGGCACGAAACGTTGCATCTCCTGCTGCCAGTTGTGCAGCGTCGACGCCGGCGAGATGATTAGAAATGGACCCCAAACACCGTAGCGCTCGGCCACATGGCAAAGAAATGCAATTGACTGCACAGTTTTGCCGAGACCCATCTCGTCGGCGAGTATGCCGCTAATGCCCTGRTCATAGAGATTAGCGAGCCAGGTTACACCTGCAATTGTTTATAGTACGATATTATAAAATATTTCTTGTAAAAAAACTCATAAAATACGTACCCTTAATTTGATAGGTCTTGAGTGTGCCTTTAAACATTTCAGGCTGCGGCACATCGGCCTTTGCCGGTGTCACTGGCACTGACGACTCCGTTTCATCCTCTTCTTTTTTAATTTTCTCCATGGCACTGCTGTCTGCAGACTCGTTCTCCTGCTTCAAATGCGCCGCCACATCGAAACGCCGCGTCTTATCGCGATCAGCAGAGAAAGCCAGTTCAGCGTTCTTCTGCGCCAACGAYTTGTAGTGATCAGCATCATAGTCGTCGTAAGCGGCTAAACGCGGATTGATCTCCTCATCCAATTGATTTAGTATACGCAGTTGCTCCTCTTCAGTGCCCTGACCCAACTTTTTCGACATAAAATGCGCGTAAAGCTCCGTTTGTGTGATGAGGAAGTTTAGTTTTCTTTGCTGCCGCTTGGCCTCTATGATTTCAACATCCATCTTGCGCTGCTCCTCGGCTTCGCGTTCCATGCGCCGACGCGTATCGCGCTCCACACGCTCATAGCGCTTCCAGTAGCCCATCATTTCGCGCGTGAGTCGTTTGGCGCGCCACACGGTCTCCTTCATGACTTTTTGTGAAATCATAGCGCGTTGGCGCACAACCTTCGAGCACATAGTGGCCACACGTTTGCAATTTTGCAGCACTTCYTTGTGATTGTTGGCCTTGCCGCGCTGACAGCGACCAAGCTCCTTTTTGGCCATCAATTGCCAGACACGWCGTCGCCGTGCTGCCATTACTTCGGGTGTACGTGCTTGCTGACTCTTACGACGACGTCCACGTCCGCTATGTGGCACACCACTCGGTGGTAGTAGTGATAGGTTGGCATCTAAAGTGCTATCCAACTCATCGGTTATATTGTCATCCTCATCATTAACTGCGGAAGTGTCACCAAAGGCATAATTATTCAATTCGGACGGTGGGATTTCWCCAGGCTCAGGTTGTTCGACTTTTGGTTTGCGTGGCTTACGCATTTTGGGCTCTTTCGGCAACTTCGGCGGTTTTATGGGCTTCTCCTTCTTAGTGCGCCGCCTACGTTTACGCACGCCTACTATAGATTGTTGATGTTCGGGAAACATGTCATGGTTGGAGAGCACACCAGCACCGTAATATGCGTATTGAGTATTCTATAATATAAATTTCTTTATAAGAGCGCACAAAAAATTAAGAAACAAGAAAAAACGTTAACTTCGATTGCACCGAAGTTAAAAAACAAATACTTATGATTCCATACACAAAGTTGAGTTTCATCGATTGTTGTTGAAGCGGTAGAAAACATTTCTGAAGTAATTTCGAAGGATGTCCTTGTCTGGATAAAAATCCGGGTCTGTCTCTTTTACTTAAAACCGACTGTTGTGGAAACGGACCATTTGTATGGTAGCTATATTTATGCCACGGTGGTCCAATCTGAATGTGAATCTTTTTCGAAGATTATACCGTTATTTTGGGCAATAATCTATTCCAAAATTGGGGATTTTTTTATTATCAATAAAAAAGTTTTTCATATTACAGCAGAATTTTCATCGACTAGTCTGTATGGCAGCTGTGTGCTATGCTCTTAGAGAAAAGTACGTGTGTAAAATTTTACGTCGTTATCTCAAAAACTGAGCTACTAGTTCCCGTATATACAGACGGACAGACAGATGATTAAACTCAGTCCGTCATGCTGACCATGTGCGTATATATTTCATAGAGACTAGGTGTTATTTCTAATATRTCCTGTTAAGGATATAATTTTTTGGCCTTACCGTTGTCTTTTTATAGAAGTTTTCGCGATGTCTCTGTTCGAATATATGTGTTTTCAGTAATTCTTTTACATAATCATCTTCGTCACTTATTTCCGTCTCAGTATCAGTATCGCTGAGCAGCACGTCGTACAGCCACTCCCTTTCATTTGTAATGTCATTGAAGTTGAATAAATGCGTTTTGACACTTTGGCGCTCTAAAAAAATACATATTAATAATCGTTACTGCACAACATTTATCATTATTTCCCGCTACTATACCTTCTTTGGTACCAAGTCGCCGGGTGCGTTTTTTGCGTGCACCACCACCCTCATCATCAGAATTGTCCGTAACGCCCGCGCCTTGTTGTTCTTCTTCTGTAGCGTTAGAATCATCACCACTGCTGAGCGGTTGTGATAACACCTTTTTTGCGTGTTCCATGAAAGGTCGCATATTTAAAGCCGCCTCCAGCCGTTGGATATGCAGAGGTTCCGCAATGCGCCGTTGGTTGTTGGGTTGCTCTGCTGCAGCCTGCGTTGGCGTTTGCGGACCCATGGGCGTCGGTAATTGGTTCATCATTATTGCTGGTCCGTTGACGGTTGCGCCAGTTTGCAGCATTTCATTGATTTTTCAGCTCACAATTTCCTAAATTTAAATGTATATAATATAGATTTCAAGAAGAATCTCATTTTGACGCAAACACCTTGTTTTGCCTTAAATGCATCCGCTGTAATGCACAATGTCCGTTGCGTTGTGCTACTTCCGCTATTCTTTACATGCAATTCAAATTCAAATTTCGAAAGAAAACCAATTGTCCAGAAAGTTATTCGTGAAATATGCATACGTAACGCTAAGAAATTTCACATGCGCAACCACAAAATTTTCTTTATCACCATACAATGCTGTCACAAGTCATACGCGTTTTACATGCTAGTTGCTGAGGTTCGATTGAAAAGGCAGCAACAAAACAAAAATTGCAAATAAAGCCAACTAAACGAAAATTCTTATTAACTTACAGCTGATTAGTTAATTGCTASTGAAGGGTTGCATTCGCGCAAAAGTGTTTAATAGAATTTACAAAAATCACACAAATTTTGACACAGAAAAGRGCTGTGACATCTAAAAAGTTTCTACTAAGCTTTGATTAAAATCGTACAATTTTTTGGTTTATCAATTAKTTATATTTTAAGAGCCAATACAACAAAAAGAAATTTAGGTAGTGGCTGCAGAAACCCTACACCGCGGTCTTCTTCTTAAAAACTGAACCAAAACAAAAATTGAACGAAAGTTTCCGCAGAGTTGCATCTGTCATGTAACAAATATTTAGACATCAGATTCACATACCACCGGCGAAACATTAATTGCTTTCGTAATTAAAAAAACTATTATCTTTAATGATTCAAATTTTGTAAATATTAGTCTTTATGCCAAATTATACAGATAACATTGGTGCCCAATAATGTAAATTAAAAGTGATTTACCTAAGTTTCAAACCATTCCCAATAAGAATTTCATATTTGCACTCTGGGTTGATGTTACTAATATACAGAGTTTTTTTTAAGATTTTTGTAAGAATTTTATTTCAATAGTGCGGAAAGCCTCTTTTATCATAATTGTTTTCTTGTGATTTTATTAAAAGTGTATAAATAAACCAARAAACTGGTACATAATTACATGCCGTAAAAGCTAAAGAAGTATCGATAACGTTGTATACTTATCGATTAAGTTTGTAATGTCAGTGTCATACCACTCATATTTGGGCAAGTCAAGGCAAAAGTAGTTAACATAACAAACGTATATTATTGAAATTATTTATTCTTAAAATTAGGTACTGTGTTCAAGGAATTAAAACAAAACGTTAAGCCAATTAATGTATTTCAATGACATTTTTGGCAATCAATTTCCGTTGTTCAGTTTGATGCAACAGCTGTTTGCATTGTTTACATTTGAGCGCTGCCTCCGCAAAAAAAGATTTTTCTTTTTTCTTTATGTGTGATTTTATRTTTAATAGTAATTAGATAGTGATTGACTAAGGCAAACTTTCAACTTTTTATATACATCATTAAAAGCTTCCATTCTGATTTCTCAATGTTAAATATGGCCTCAGTGGAAAGGTAAGTGCGTATTTAAATATACTTAACAAACTTTATACTGTGTCTTCTATTTATTAGTAGGGGAAAATTCGAGAGAATTACTTAGCAACAGCTTCACTATTACATGGCGTTCTGTAAGCAACACCCAGAAATCGCAAGGTACTAAAGGGAAAGGTGAGAAACAACAATCATGCGGAAGTCGTCTGCTTGATGCAAAGTCACATCCTAAGATCATTAAAAGAGCATKTCTATAATACGTCGACTAACATTTTTCCGAAGCGATCAACTTCAGACGAGTACTGTGCCTACATCACAGTGGATCCATCAATACCATCATCGATTATCTCCCAGTGGATGAGACAAGAGTGACMCTAGCGCTACTTTAGTCTGGTTAAACACATACCTACCTACCTATAACAAAACTCGATAATAGCAGACAATAACATTGATGAGGGGGGTATTAGACAAAATATGAAAGTATATTSGACACAATGGCCTAAGGCCAATAAATGTTGTGCCTTAGAAACCGCTTAACTATAATTAAATAGATATTGTAAATATATCTTATAACATATAGTGAGAGGTGACTCAAAGCAAATCTTTTAAATTGTTTTAAAAATAAAAAGCCAGTGAATAATGAAAAAATGGTGTCTACTATTTAAAAAGTTTTTTTTTATTTATTGTTTTTTTTATTTATTTATAAAAGCTTATACAATGTTAATAACATATGTACAACCTAAAACATGCAGCGCTAGCTTCAGAGGCTATCGGCTGTGCGTTGAATAAATGTGTTGGTTTAAATTCTCCTCAATAGATCACATTCCTTAAGRWAWCGATAGATGGTTTTTATATTTTCTTCCGTAGCGTTAGAAAGGAGGGAAATCGGGTCTGTGTTGAAGTGGAATCTCTCTTATCTTTCAGTGTTGGACAAAATTCTCATACAAAAGCGTAATTGATGACAGAGAGTATGAGTGCCTTGACAACCTTAATTAGCAAAGATGGGCCAATGAGCGAACGCTTGCATGCTAGGTACTTAACAGTATTTGAGTTTTTAGTAATTCTATTTCTAATATATTGACAATGTTGTTTGAATGCATATTTACGATCTAGAATTAATCCAAGAAACTTAAGTGTAGGAGAACATGAAATATTTACATTGTTGAATGAAATCGGTGGAAAATGACAATTATGTTTTTTACAAATGTGGAGTAAACTGGATTTTAAGTACGATATTTATGCGCCTGCGGGAAGGGACCATAGGGATAGTTGAGAAAGGATTTTTTCAAAGATAGAGGATATAGAACTAAGCTCAGAAGATTTTGAAAATAGAAGGAGATCATCAGCATATACATAATTGATGCTGAATAATAGGGAAGGAAGAAAGGATAGAGCTGATTTCATCAAATGCTATGGTGAACAGTATAACTGATAGCGGTAATCCCTGAGGAGTGCCGTTATCCAAAGGAAGAGTCGGTGAAGATGTGCCAGAACAAAAGAACTTTGATTTTACGTTTAGAGAGAAAGGATTTAACAAAACTAAATATACGGGGGCCAACCTTCCATTCGATTAATTGYCTTAAAACTACATGTATGCCACCCCGATCAAACGCTTTTACAAAATCAAGGGATAGATTGTTTGCAATATGTGTTTCGTTTAATAATACTAAAGAGTGCTTATTATACGAGTATTCAGAGGAGAAATTATAATCAGAAGAGTTTGACGAGAAAAATTTGGCGAATTCTAAAGCTATATCCTGTAGATATAGTAGATTGCCTTGAGAGGAGTTGATATGTATGAAAAATTTAAGTTTTAATTGGAATTTAATATCTAGAATTATGTATCTATGGATACTTGGATATATGATTGTGTATGGCAGGAGGGTACAGGTGAAGTTGTGGAACGGGTTATAGTGGTAGGAGTAGTAGTTGTGGAAAGGGGTGAGAAGGATGGAGAGGGAGAATTGTATAGGGAAGAGACGGAGAGAGAAGTGGTTTTGGGGCAATCATTATGGATTGAGTGTATGTTTTTAGGGGATGAAGAATTATTGTTTGAAGTTGTAGCTTTAATGTTGTCATTAGAATTATTAGTGTTTGAAGTTTTTTCGATGTTGATGTATTTTTTTGAGTGAGTATTGTTGTTGGAAGMAGTTACATTAGCATAGGAGAATGGTGAGGGAGTATAAGGCATTTGAGATTTGTATAAATTGATGGCTTCACGCATCGAACATTTGTGGATAGTTTTAATTTTAAGTACTTCTTTAGACTGGACAAATTTTGGACAGGCGTTAAAGGAAGAAGGGTGTTCACCATCGCAGTTAGGACATTTAACTCTAGAGCATTCAGTGGGAGGGGTATGATTTGGGGGTAGGTTGAAGATAGGACAAGGTGGGGTCTTATTACAACGCTTAGCAGTATGACCCAGCAACTGACAATTCTTGCTGCGCATGGAATTAGGATAGTAGGGACGGATATCGAGGGTACACCAGGAAACTTCAATACGACTAGGTAAAGTATATTTATCAAAAGTTAATAATAAAGCACCAGTCGGTAAACGGTTACCATTGTTTATCTTCGTAAATTTATAAACATCGGATACACCTTGATCTTTTAGACCATCAATTATTTCGTCATCAGCAAGCTGACAGATAAATGGAGCGTAAATTGTACCCTTTASTGAGTTCAGGGAGTTGTGAAGAGATATATCAACTGCACCAGCTCCGGGAAGATGTTTGGTTTGTAAAAATTTGTCAGCGATTTTTAGGTTCTTTACCAAAAGAAGTAGGCTGCCGTCACGAAGCGATGTGAGTTTGTTAATGTCTTTACTTATGGCCTGAATACATTTGTGTACTGCAAAGCAAGAAGTGGATGCAATAGTTTTTCTGGCGTCCTGTGATTTGATTACGAGGTACTTGGGATCATCCTTCTTAGAAATAGGTAATTCCGGGAAGAATTCCAGCGTTGAATTTTCTGGCTTTTTCCTCTTGTTTTTAGGACCCGGGGCTAATAGTGCAAACCTATTATTCCCCAGCTTGTTGGCCCCAGGGGGCATTGCGAAAGAGTTTATGATCTTACCCGATTAAATTGTGGGTTTATCTTTAGAATTGAAAGTATAAAAAAACACGTGGAAAGTGTAACGAATTGAAGCACAAAGTGTCAAAGCTAGTTTAAATTGCCCGTACACTAAGTAACGAGAAGTTATGCAGCGAGTATGTATATGTGCGCACGATATGAAAGAAATCAACCGTACACAACCACGAACAACGAACGACGTAAAAAGTTTTTATTTTTGACATTTAATTCATCAATTCGTCTGAAAGGGGTGTTAAAGGAGTACATTTGAGGTAGTATCTTGAGCGATGGAAGGACTTGGGCTACGAATGCCAATCAGACTGTCTGGAGTCTCAAGCGCCTCCTTTATGAAAGAAAAAACATCTGCGGATTGCGGAATTCGCAGTTTCCAATAACAGGACTCGTGCGATTTCTCATTTTTTAGTTTATTTACTCTCGTCGCTCATGTTAAATTAACATCATCAGACTTTCGATAAATAATGGATTTCATATGGCTTTCTTTACCTGTGTTGTTRCAAATACTGAAGCGTAGTTTTCGTTTTTTGATTCGTAATGACGTAAGACATGTGTACTACTTTCTTTATCATTGAAACCAGAAAGATCTTAAATGCTCCAGAGGTTTGGATTTCCCAAAAACTTACGAGCCTGTTTTTTAACTTATTTTCAAGTGTAAGCTCTTTAAACCATGGTGGCATTCAGCCCTAAAAAATATCAGTACAAATAAATAGTTGAAAGTAAAATTGAAACTCAACTGGCGTGAATATTGAACTCACGTGAACTTAACCTTTGCCATTGTTCGAACGATTATTTTTGTACTGACTCCTCTAGCTACAAAGTTCACAGCCAAGTAAACAGAATAAATGGCAATTTGAAATGCAGTTTGCGCCAAAGTGAATATAAACAATAGCAGAAACAATGTGGGTAAAAAGAGTAGTAACCAAGTGAAAATAAAAAAAAAACGAAATTGAACTTAAAAATAATAAGAACCAGTAAACAGTTTCAACCACTCTTTACAGCGAAGAGGAAGCCTTCTTCTTCCTCTGTTACCACCAATTGATACAGATTCCATACGTTCAGAGCAGAGACGCCAACATCCATGTAAATTACGAGAAATTGTTGATGATATCATTACAGAGCTCTTCGTCAAAACTTATGCGGAACTGACCTTCTATAGGAATTCCATATGGACTCAAGGATTGAATTGCACTGATACCTCTTAAAAATTTGGACGACCAACCACGACGGGAAGCTGAAGTACTTTGGAATACTTTCGTTGAGATTTTTATCTGGGAGTCAAATAGAATAAAATAATAGAATAAAAAATTGCTTTCACTTACTCTCTTGTTTTCGGAAAATTTTTTTTGTTTACTGGGCTGAGCTTGCAGGTGCGATAGAAAAATAAACAGAAAACCCCTTGCCAGCTGCACAAAAGTTATTGCCACTAAATTGCCATTTGAAATTTTCAAACCTTTGCCTTCGTGTTTGAGTAGAACGCATTGTGGCACCGCAGCTGTTGCAAAATGCTGAAAATTAACAAGTTGTTTGGCACACTCGCTTTTATCGAGGCGAAAATTCAGTTTGCGGCGTAAATGTGCAGTTACGCGCATTTCAGCGATGTTCAACCGTTATTTTCTGTTTTTGGAGAAACAATAATCTGAAAAGTTCAACTTTATTTATGTATATGTTTTTAAAGTTCTGTTGTTGGGTTACACTGGCGAGAAAACGGTTTGTATTTTGAATAAGTACGGTAGARARCAAGTGTGAGTATTAAAGAAAAAYGTAAGAGAATAGCRAATCGAACAAACAACTGACGTAAAATAAATAGATCGATAGAAAAAGAGGAGCAAAGCRTCATTGAGACTTTTTCAAAATGTTCGAAAAAATAAAATAAAATATTCTGGATTATTACATTTTTTCGGGAAAGTAATGATAGAACAGTTCTCCATAACCTTGACAACATTTCGCCATAGCTCACCCTTATCAACAGTATCATCCTCAGTGGACTCAGAATCAACTTGGAAGAAGATGTAGGAGCAGAAGTGTTAGTTTCAAAAGGGACGAAGATGGTGATTATAKAGATTTCAACATAACAAATTAAAGGGATTGATATCTAGAAAACATATGACTGATTTGTTTGACCAGCCAATTGGATATGAATGGTTTCAAACACCTTAATAATACCCAACGATTATCCTGCTCCCGCCCAACCGACGCGAGGAACGCAATCCGCGAACGAACGGAATTAGCCGAGTCATAAAAGGCAAGGGAG